CTATATCCTACCCTGCTCACATGAAAACTTGAAGGGCAGGACTTGACCTTCTGTAACAAGCAGAATTAACAGTGACACAGATGGGCTTGTGCACTGAGAAGGATAAAGTCTCCGGCACACATGGTTCTCTCCCTGATTGCCAGGCTGTTCAGAAATTGTCTCTCCAGGGGTTTCAGCTACTCTCTGGGCACAGTGTACACGGGAGGCAAATGGAGTACATCCACACAGCTGCTCCTTATCAGAACCATGAACACCAGGAGCTTCGTTCATTTTCACCAACAACTATATGAAAGTAGAACAGACTAAAATTGGAACAGTAAAAAAGTGTTCACTAAGACGAGGAAAAGCCTCCAGAATCACGAGAGTAAGTAGCATCAGACAAGACAGAAGTGACCTAAAAGTGACCAAAGTGACTGGCACAAGAGATAGATTACAGTTGTGATAACAGACTCTGCAGTATCATCATTATCAATAATAAAAGAATTGGCTGTAACTAAGAAAAGTATGGGAGAAAAATATGACTACATTCAGTAAGGGAAATATTTCAGACTTTTACCCTGAAAACATTCACCAGAGGATACACAGAATGGCCAGAAAGTCCAAAACTTTTTTTTTCCCAATGATAATAAAAAAATCACTACTGAAATTCAATAGATACCACTACAGTAAACACAGAAACACAAATAAGGATGAGTTTCTCACCTTTACTGCTTTGTATTGTTACTGTCTTTGTTCTAAGTACAGCAATTACATACAACTGCTGCACGACAACTGTAGCACCATATACTACCATGGTTTTGCTGTGATGTTTTTCAGGATTAAGTTCAGCTAGCATGGAGGCAGAATCTGAAGATTCTGAATTGAAGATTCAATGAAAAAGTTGCTAATATGTAAAGATGAATCAAAAGAAAAATGTCATTAATTCTCAGCCTGTGCATTACATTGGAAAGCTGAGGAAAGGGAGATTTGTTTGCACACTCATGTTAATATAATTGCCAAAGAAAATGTTCAGAAGGAAATAATTAAGTGTTGACATGGCAGCAGCTGTGTTTGCCAAACTAAATATGATTCAGGTATCAAACCCCCACAACTTAAAGACTAGAGAGGAAATGTTCAGTTCAGGTTCTTGTAGTTCAACAACTGCACTTAAAAATGACAAACCTAAAACCACAGATATATACACACACCTCACGGCTGCACAAGGAATGCAGAGCTTGCCTAGTATGCTTTTCAATGACTTCAAAGGACAAGTTTTCACATTCAGTCTAAGCAGTTACAACACTGACAAACAGAGACACATAAAACATCCTATCTGCAGCCTTTCTCCTGTGACTTACCAGATGCTATTAGGCAGCCACTATCTTTATGTCAGGATGTCTGTCTCACAGCCAGATGTACAATTATTTAGTTTAGAGATATCTCTAAGAGCTAGATGCACATAGCAACTCTCTATGTGCTCCCTAAGCTTAGGGCTTAGATGTCAGTGAAAGTCAGTTCTCTCTATTTGTTCCTCCTGTTGCACATGACAGGGATTCCTGTCAAGTCTTGCTTATCAGTACGTATTTTCCACAATTCAAGAGGCATGTCTAGAACAGCCTGCATTCAAAGACTGAGAATCATTAGCAAATACCAAACAGACATTGCAAAAACTGCTCAGCACCTGCCAGATTGAAAGCAGCTCAACTCTGTTTCTTTACTTTCATGGTTAACATCGTGGAGTGCCCAGACACTGAAATAGGATTAGGCCCTGCTGTGCTCAGAGCCTCACACCAACACGTGACTTCTACCCTAAGGAGCTTGCACGGAGCCAGGCACACCAGACAGGCTGGACAGGAGAGGCTGAGCTGCAATGGCCAAGTACATTTATCAGTTTCAGCTAGCATTCCTAGGGTCCTCGCTGCTTTCAGTAGCAAGGCAGGTACCAGACTTGCCATTGAATTTGTATTTTAGGAAAAAAACCAAAACAAAACAGAACCCGAACAAACAAACAAGCTCAGCAGCCACAACAAATCAAATCATTTAAAAATTATCTCAGTTGTAACAGCTAAATACAGAAAATCCGAAAGAATTTGTTCAAGTTCTCAGTTTTCTTCCCCAGCTGAGGCTATCCTCAACTTTATTTTTAAATGTTTCCAGTGACTTGCAACAACGTGCATGAGCTTCATGCTGACAGAGTTCCAAAACCCCAACGCTGTTCATTCATGTCATAACTTCATATATGATTGAATCTATTTCTGAACATATACCCTATGTGAAAGCCACAAGCATCTTCAAGAACTCTGCACCAGTAACATGCTAAAACAGATTTAAAGGAGGAGTTACAGATATCCTGCCTCCCAGGGTCAGACCCAGAGCTGTGCTTTTCTTAACTATCATGCCTACAACTTTACCTAGGCTATCATAGTCATTAGCATCAACACCCACATCACTCAGCCTTGAAGGCACACAGAAAACTTCCCTCTAAGGTAATCAGAAATTAACATGGAGGAGATACATTTTATGTTAGTAGAATAAAGACAAGTACCCACAACAGGACAGAATGTTACAATAGCCAAAACCTCCTTGTCCTTCAGATAAATGACAAACTTAAGCAATGAAATATGTATTTCAAGGCACAGTATTCAAGGACGTTGCACAAGTGACAGCTGCAGGAGCCCAAAAACAGTGTCTGCCCCCCAAAGTATAATGTCTGAACATAATCACTAATGCACAAGACAGACATGCAAATCCAGCATCTCAAAGAGCAGAGCAGGGTAAATTTGGAAACATATTAGTCCCGGTCCAGAGAGTTGTTTGTCAGATCTCAGTGTATCTGCATCCTATTATCTGAAACTTGATACAGAAAAAAAGCAATTAGATTCTCCTAGAAGTTTCTTTGGTACCTTAGTAGCAGTGCATCACAGTATCTATACCGCAGCCTTTTACCAGCAAAACTTTGCTACTTTGGTAAGTCAAATCTTACCTGTACTAAAGTAGATTAAATTTAATGAGATCAAAATATGCTGATACAGATAGTGCACTGCTTCTGACATGTAAAAGTACCCCATGCACAGTAATATACTCATTCTGCGGCCTCATTCATCACTGCATGTTTTGAAATGCACTTTGCAGCAAATCCAATTTAAACCTAAAACATATTAGTACTTTAGATATGAACGAACTTTTCTATAGAGAGGCTTTTCTCATTCGGTAGCTAAGAGCACCATTTGCAGAAACTGAAAACTCAGCTTTACATTTAGAAACCATAAGGTCCGGGAAATGCCACCTTTGACTCTTATTTTCTCCTCAGTATGTAACAAGATCTAGAGAATGCAACAAATGTGGGAATTAAGCTGACACGCATCTGTTTATAATAGATGTGGTTTGAACAAGACCCAGTTCTTTACAACAATGTAGACACATCTACTTAAAGAACCCAAATAAGGTTTTGTATAAAATACAGCATACTTACATTTGCAACAGTGAATGAGCTAGCCACACACAGAGTGTTGCAACAGGCAGACTCCAGCAGAGCCTTATCATCATTTCCTGTCCTTGGTGAACACACTAATAATTTCAGCGCAACCACAACTGTTCAGTGCAGAACATCTCCAACACCTAAAAGTCCCCTCCCACCTTTCCTGCATGCAAACCAAGATACTATACAAAATTATAAAAGAGATGACATAAGTGGGCCTAATGCAATGTGTGGGAAAAGCAATATAAGAGTAAAGAGAAAGAAAATCAAGACTTGTGAATGCTGTTGCTTTGAAAATGGAGCCATAATGGTATTGGGAGTGCAGACTGGGGAGTATTATTTAAAGATATCTTTTAAAAAAACATTTTAAACAATAAAAAAACCAAAGCTCATGGAAATTAAAACTGTCGCTGCGCAGGGCTTTACAGAAAATGTCCATGAAAACACACGCTTTAAATACCCAAACCGGACTTACAAGCTCTGTTGAAATTAAGTAGAGTGAAACACTCTGAACTCTATGAGTGAAACACTCTGAACTCTATGATTAATCGATGAAAGTCAAGGGATGAAGCAACTGCTCCCTTTGTCCCTTCTCAAGAAAACAGAGAAAGAAAAACACGGTTACCATCATTAGCAGCCTAGGACAAAAACATATGGCAGAAAATTACCTCACACTTATTAAATGTCTTTTTCTCTAGCTGTTCTAAATATCCTCCTAGTAAAAATGAAACAATCTCAATGAAGAGTACTTCACTGTCACTGAACTGTGAAGAACTGTACATCAAACAGTTTTCAAATAATGGAGTATTTAAAAGCTCATATTGCCTAATTGGTCCTCAAATGGAAATTAAATCAACCTAGAAACAAGCTGGATTTAATTAACCTATTTAAGATAGAGGCAAGAAATAATAATAATAATAATGGTTGCTTTTTTATTTATTTATTTATTTTACACGAGCACAGAGAACCACAGATTGAGCAGGGATCGATGGCTTTGCAAACACGCCCAAGATTTCTGAAGTTCCAGAGATTTCACAGCCAGCCGGCTGCCGGGCGATTCCCCCGAGCCCGCAGCCGCGGGGAGAGCTGCTCCAGCCCATCCCCGGGGCAGCGGCTGCCCGGTGCGTCCCGGCTCACCTGGAATTCGCTCCGGCTCGGTGCCACATGGAGCGCACCGGCAGGAAAATAAACCCCTCAGCAGCACCCTCCCGGAGCAGGGAAGGTGTCTAAGTTGGCTGTCGCTCCGGAACAGCCTCGGGGGGCTGTGACAGCGCGGCGGAGACCCGAGGGCCGCAGCAGGAGGCTGGAGGGGCTCGGCGGGATAAGGCGCTGCACCGCCGCCCGGCAGCCGTGGGCGCCCTCGCTGCCAGCCGGGCGTGAAAGGCGCTTGCAGGGCGCCAAAGCGACACTCTTCTCGCGTGCCGAGTTCGCCGGCTGCCGCCCCCCGGCCCGCCCCGTCCCGCGGAGCCCCGGCTCGTCCCGCAGCGCTCCGGCTGCCAGCCCCGCCAGCCCGCCCCGTCCCATCCCTAGGGCGGACACCCACCTGAGCTCCACACCTACGGCCCGCCGGGCGCCTCCGCCATGGCGCCCCGCAGGCAGCAGCGAGGAAGGAAGGAGCCTGGCAGGAGCGATAGCCAGCATAAAGGGCAGGTCCGGGTGAGCGCTCGCTCCGGCTGGCAGGGAACACCCAGGAGCGGGACCGACTGACGGCCGCGCCGGCCAACGGGAGGAGCCTCGGCTGCCCCCGCCCCGCCGCCGCCCGGAGCCGCCGCCGCCGCCCGCCTTCCCGGCCGGCGGGCGGGGGAAGGGGTGTTTCCATGATGTCACGGGCAGCGCCCGCGGACAGGTGGGGAGCGGTCCCCGAGGGGACGCGGGGACAGGAGCCCCGGGCTAAGCTAAGCCGGAGCTGAGCCCCCGAGCCCGCCTTAAGCAGTAGGGGCGGGGCGGGCTGCGGGCACGGCAGGGCACGGCAGGCGCGGAGCTAATCCCGCAGCGACCCCGAGGGAGCCTCGGGAGCGATGGCTCCCTGAGCAGCCTGGTCCCGAGGGCGCGGCTCCCCGCGCCGCCGGGGCGAAGTGCGAGCGCCGGGTTTGTCGGGGGAGCGCCGCATCCACAGCAGCCTGCGGGCATCACTTCCCGCTCACGGCGAGCGCTTCCCGCGCCCCACCTCGCCATCCGCCTCGGGAAGTAGGAGAACCACCCCTCCCCGCTTCCCCCCCTACCCCTTCCCTGAACCGGCATCCTAAAATTATCGTGTTTCTCTGTACCTTATTTAAAAATAAACATCTTGAATGACTAATTAGATCCGAGCCGTTAGAAGCGCGCTGGACGGCTTCCATGAACTCTTAATGTGTGCACTAAATCTTTCAGAAATTGTTACTGCTTGCGAGGAGGCAGACGGGATGTGACTTGGCACACCATTCACGCTGTCTTTACTTACAAAGTGCGATTTAATCCACAATTAGGAGAAACGGAGAGGGACGGGAAGAACCACCCCGGTTTCTTTACTCAGACTCATATGCCCAAAACTGATCAGCTGCTTCTCAGTTCCATTCAGAACTCGGTGCTTTTCTCGACTGGAGGGAAACAGAAACCTTTTTCTTCATGAATACCATTCATACAGCATTAAAAAAGAGCAGAAGCATTTGTGAGAGCAAGCTTAAGTGACATCCCGAAAGTTAGGAACGGTATTCACAGACTGGAACTTGAGGTAGCATAACCGAGCACAGTAGTACACAGCATCTTGAACGAAGTCTTGTAAGGGCATGAGAGAGGCTGCAGAATATAAGTTTTAGTAAGGACAGTATCCACTGTAGGCTTCCCAAACTATCAACATCAGTGTGACCCAAACACCCTGAAAGCTGCTTTCAGAGCTGGCCTGTGCGATGCTACATCAGGGAGGGCTCCTGCTGTTGACTGCAGCTGTACACTTGATGATGGCTTAAGGAGGTGCTGCCTACACAATGAAAGCTCAAGCAACAACTTTTTAGTCAGCATCAAGCATCAAAGTCAACGAAAAACAACAGAAAGTAGTTTTAGTTTTCATAGTATTTTTTAATGTAGCTCCAAGTCGCTGCTGTATGGGAGTTCAGGCATTGCCAGAGGGTACATATCAGTTTGCAAGCAAGTGGAGTTTAATGATATTTAGCAATTTCTTGGGTTTCAGATTTTATAAAAGTTTGATTTTATAAATCCCGGTTTTAGGACAAAATTAGCAGCTCCTGTCATTTTAAAGAGCACAGTTTTTGAACTAAAGGCACCAAACAGCCTGCAGCATCCAATCAGTTAAGGAAAAATTAGACACCTGGAATATGTTGATGGTATACCTTTCTAGTGTTCCCATGATTTAATAGCACATTGTTAGGCAACAGCATTTTTCCTATGCATGTGTGGCCTCTTCCAACTTCCATTGAAATCAAGCTCAGACCATCTCTTTATTTAGAAAGTAACTGTGTGTCTACCTGAAAATGTACAATCTCCAGATCCTGCAATAAAAAAGACACAAACTGCAAAAATAAAATTCTCTTCCAGATCAAAATCTCCATCTTGAGTCCTGCTGTATAGATGTTGCCCTGTTTGAGTTTCCTGAAATATTTAGGACTACTATTGTTCCTGTGTAAAAAACATGGACTGGGTGCATCCATGGGCTGTATTACATTATTTCACTCGAGTTACATCGGGAAGGAGTTTGATCTTATGGATTTAGGGCTTCATTTCCTTTCCTTTTGTTCTTCCCTTCTGTCACACAGAAACAATGAAAAAATATTGGAGTGCTCTGTTTTCCTGTGCTAAAGAAAAGTTTAGAAACAAAGTAATAACCTGCTTTTTGAAAGCAAGGTCATTGTTTCTGTTAGAAAAGCAACACACAGAGAAATAGTGACAGTTCATTATCTGAGATGGCAAGATACAATGTGGTTGTACACATTGGGGGAAATGTATGAGCAGAAAGCCTCTGTGTGAATATAGATTGCTGTTTTTTTGTTCTTAATAGATCCATCAACACAAACTCATCCGGTTTATAATCATAAAAGGAAGGTGGTTAGGGTGTTCCCCAGCAACATGCACTTAACCTTCGATTTATCCTTGCTCTTTGGGTTTTCTGATTGATGGAGCCTCATGACACAGTAATCTTTTCAGAGCTATTAAGAAGAGGAACTCCATTCTGCATAATCCAACAGGTATTTTTTTTTAATTCAGTCTCCCTTTGATCTATTGTAATTCAGAATTAAATTACATGGTCTGAATGAAAACTCTACCAAAATGTGTGTTCTTTCAGCTTGCTCTTTCCTGTGGTTTTGTAGACATTTCATAATAATGTTTCCAGTGGTGCAATGAAAAGGATTGTCTTTTGATTTCCAGCTTGATTTTTGTCCTTTAATTATTAGGTAAAAATAATTATTGCATCCCCATTGAACTCAAAGACAAGCAATGATGTTTCCTGTTTAAGCAATCTTAGTCTGGTGAGGGAGCCAGGTTCCATTCCATGTATATGGACCATAAAGAGAAAGGCTCATTATGAGACACAAATTTTGTTCTGCAGTTTGAGCTGAACAGACAAATAAGTTTGCAAAAAGCTTCTACATTTACAGCAGATGGATTTATCAGTATTTGTGTGGCTGAGGTGTGAGCAGCACAAGTTGTGCACATTGCAAAGCTATTGGATTCATCTGTCTAACTCTTCTGATGACTATGCACATATATCTTCAGTCCTGGGCAGGAGTTATCTATCTTGAAATTCAGAAACATCTTTCTTCATGCACAAAAATAAATCTGTCCTTGAGAGCTTTCTTCTTTCCACCAGCCCTCCCTATGATGTAATTTCTGTCCTTATGCCAGTACTTTCTATGTTATTCTTGGTCACAAGAGGAGCCTCTATCCCACTGACAGTGCTTTGGCAAACATTGCTGCTGTCCTGTTGCACTTACTGGCTGGTATTATGGAAGCTCTTGGCACCACCTTTCATGTGTCTTTCTTGCTGGTACTTCTAAATGCTTATCTCCCTGGGCTGCCCAGGCCTCTTTTCACATGACCATGGTTACTGGGTCTTCCATGACTTGTCTGGCTTCCCAGCTAGAATTAGCCTTGTTAGATTCCCTTTGGAGACCTTCTGGATACCTCTGAGGTAAAAGCATATCATATGTGTTGCAAAATTCATTGATTTTTGCAATACTTTTAGCAATCTTGACTGTGCCTTACCATTTGTATGGTGATAAGAGCTCTACAGCTGTGGGGGAAAGCAGTTCTGCTGTCACAGCATCCTTTACTCTTTTTCTTTTTACAAACTGCTATATTGATTTTTGTTTACTTATTCAGATGAGGGCAGAGAGAGAGCAGGAAGGCTTGTAATCTTTCCATGTTGGCAAAGCAGGGGGGTGGGCAGAAGGAAGTCAAAATAGGAAGATGAAAAATTGAAAACTAATTAATATCCACCAGCTGGGCACTCAAAGAAAGTTCCTGTGCCAAATGGTCAAAGAAGTTTGACCTGGTCTGAAATTTGTAAAGCTGGATAGGATGAACCAGGCAGCAAACATTAAAAAGATGCACAGATTTACTGTGGCTGCCATGACCATGCATAGTGTGTACCTGTGTAACAAGACACAACACGACATACATAACATGACATGATAACATAATGTGGCTTCACAGCCTCTTTCCACAACACTGCTGATCTGTCCCACAAGGCACCAGTGCACACCAAAGGAATAAGAGAAGGCATGCAACATATGTTGCTCAAAAAAGACCCAAAAGCCAAAAATGCAGACTCTTAAGAACCCTGTCTTTTGTGAGTGTGTGTGTTTTTGTGCATTACCAGCCACAGTACGATCTGTGGACTTGGCAATCACTGAATTCCAAATAGTAACGTTCATCATGAGTATTAAAAGTACTTCTCTTGCTGTTGGTTTGAGTTTTATTTGTCTATTTTACTTAGCTCCAGGGAAGCTGTGAGGGCCCACTTGCATTTGGTCTGGTTCCCGAGCTTACTGCATTTGAGAGCCAATTTTGAATGTCAGGTGGTCACAGTGTGGTGGATGAGTAACATTGAGACCTCTAGAGAAACAGGGAATAAAGAATCACTGAGATTCTTCTTCACACAGATGAGGACATTTTTCAAGCAGTAACTTAATACTGCCTCGGAAATGAGAGGAAACTTCAAGGTTTTCAAGAGAAAGTTATTCTGATTTTTTTTTTTTTTATGGTAGCATTTTCCCTTCAGAAGAGAAGTTAAACAAACTGGCAATTGTAGATTCTGGATTTCTCAGTCTTGTGCTGGTTTCATACATACCAGATGCTGTTTTATAACATTTATCCTCCTCCCCCTCATTGGTGACTATTACTCATTTGTCCCAGTGTTCTGGGATTTTAGTATTTATCTAAAAGGCAGTCAGATGAAAAAAAAAAAAAAATGGTCCTAATTTTTTTTTTTTAAATTACTTAAGGCAAAAACATCAGAGTACATGGAGGTTTACCATATTTAGCAAGCATGTTTACAGAGATGTGATACAGGTCTCTGCAGAATCTGGCAGCCAGATGCTGTTCAGCTGGCAGAGGGCAATGCAGCCACTGGGCAACAGTGGAATTCAGTGCACTGCAGGCCAGATTATCCCTCTCTGCTGATGTAGGCCTGGTTATTCAGATTGCTAATGAGGGGTTCTGCCTGGAGTAGGAGAGACAGA